TTTTTGTATTTTTGAAAAGGTGTAAAATAAATACCTTAAAAATGTATTGTTTCCTTATCAAATCCATTACCCACCATTCATGTTAACCAGTTAACGGCATTACACTTTCCAATTCCACTCAAACCTTTCATCCCTAGTGGCTCCTGTGGCCCTACGAACTCAAGCCTCAACCACTGCAACCCGTTGTTGCTGTCGGTGAGCCGCTGGCCTCTCCGGTCTCAATGACTCTGGTGAACCTCCAGCCTCTCTCTTTTTCCTTTTTTTTTCCTTCTCGATTTTTGTTCTTTTAATTCATTTTAATTTATCATTTATAAGTTATGATTTATGTTTTATGAGTTATAAATGTGATTTGTGATAAATGATTCAAGAAAAAACCCCTACCTAACACCTAGTTCCTACCTAAATGATTATTGGAGAATTTTGCATATTATAAGTAATTTAAAAACTTTTGATTGATAAATTGGGACCAATTTTAATTGATTTTGTTAATATATTGATGCATGTTTAATTAATTGTAATTGAAAAATGATTACTGGGGCTTTGTTTTTCAAGTTAACGCGTTTTTTGTTTTTGAAACAATTTTAATTGAAATATAAATTGGGGCATTTTGCAGATTATGCAATGATTTTTTCAGACAAGACGAAAGTTTATACCTATTTCTTCTAATTCTAGTGGTACATCTAGTTTCGCCACAGCTTCTAGTCGAGTTCACGAGTTATTAAATAACACAAATAAACGATCTCGCTATTATGGACATGGACCGACACTGTCGCCGGTCAATGGTCAATGGCCAACGTCCACCCTAATTAAACTCTAATCCTGAATCCGTCATTGCATCCAGCAATATTGACAAACTCTATTTATATTTTTTGAAGCTTTCTCACGTGCATGCTAATTTTTCATCAATTAGTGTGAAACTTAAACTCATGGAACAAGCAGACCAAATTATTAATTAATAATCAGAAGCAGCATAAACAAAATTTGAGTGAGTATAAATGTGCATTTCTCCTTCCTTAAAATTCAAAAAAAAAAAAAAATGTCGGAAATTCGAGATTTCCACACACTCTACAACAAAGGGTAATCTTGACATCTATCACGACGAATATAACTTGGCAAGTTCATCAGAGAACGTTTTCCTAACGACCTCTCTCTTGATCTTGAGAGCTGCGGTGACAAGACCGGATTCAGGAGTCCAAGCTTCTGAAAGCAGTTTGATCTTTGCCGGAATCTCAAACTTCTCCAATCGTGCACCCTTCGCAGCCTGTAGAACGTAAAATAAAATAGGGCCTTTACTCGACTCGAGATATCAAACTGAAAAAAGTTTGATGAACAGGGCTCTGTTTCTCATTTTCAATGATATGAGCATGCTTGGGAGGGCTTATAAGTGATTATAAGATATCGTCCTACAAAATGTATGGATAAAAAGTATGTTTGCCCTTTTATATTATAATTTAAGCTTAGTCAAACATGCACGATAGGGGATTCGTAGTTGAGCTTGCGATCTTTTCTTGTATAGTATTTTTCACAAAACAACGAAATAATCTTAGCTACCAACCTAACAACCGATATTGTATGTGCGAGCTCGATTCTTTAATGAACCTCACTGCATTTTCAAACGAGGGAAAGTCTAATAATCAAGAAAATACCTTAATTAACGAAGTGTAGACTTCCTTTACAGTTTCTTCTTTCTGGCACAAGTCCAAAAAATCAGAATATTCGACTCTGTAGTTCGAAGCCCATTCTTCAACAGCAGCCTGCGATGCTACGACTAAGGCCACACAGTAACTATGAAAAGAATCAGCATGCAACATGATACTGTCGACATACGGGCTAATAATTAGAGCAGCCTCGACCTGCATAGGAAAAACCAATGATAACCGATACAAGTCTGATGCTAACAAATATCAAAAGGCAGCGCTGTTATTCACCTAACTTGCGACATTGTTTCATTCAGTTAGTCTCTGAACTTCATTTTTATTTTAGTTAACGGGAACGTGGCATGAAAAGTCCATTAGCACAGGCGAAAATGCATATTGTTGGAGAAGTACGTAAGTAAAATGAGCTTTTCTTATAAATAAACAAAAAAAGGAAGAAACAAAAAGGAAAGCAAAACTTGTCCAAAAAGACGCGGCTATACAAAGTTGGACAACAAAAATCATGGACAAACTGAATTTTCCATACCAAATCAGCATATTGGTTAATTCGATAAGATGGAGTGCCTAAATCGAAACAAAAATTAAATTTTTACGATGAGGACAAACGTGAAACAACGGTACAAGTGGGTGAACTACAATGTATTTAACGACAGAAAACTCGCTAACTGCAAGGGTGCATAAAATCTGTACCTTCCCTAGAGAAACATATTCTCCATGCTGAAGTTTGACGATGTCCTTCTTACGATCAATAATCTCAAGGCAACCATCAGCATGGAATCTCCCTACATCACCCGTGTAGAACCACCTCATTCCTTTCTCATCAACCTTTGCATCAACAGATTAACACAATAAATACATCTAACCCAGAGTAAATGGCACTTTTGGCTAAGCTCAAAAATAAATAAAAGTTACTTTCAGTTTCCAAACATGTTTGAATAAATTACATTTTTCTTACATTTAAGTTAAAAAGTTATTTAAATTTTGAAAGTAACAGTTATTTTACCATCAAATTAAGTAACTTTTTATTGATTAAAATTGTAAATAAGTTACTCATTATTGATAAGTAAACTTTTGAGGCATAGTAAAACATGCTCTTTGTTAGTGTGAGATGCGAAAAAAAAAAAAAGAAACAAGCACAAAATTTCAAAATTACTTACCTTGTACACTTCCTTTGTTTTCTCCTCATTTTTGAAATATCCAAGGGTGACATTTGGTCCGCCAACAACTATTTCTCCACGCGGCATTGGAGAATCGCTAATTAAATATCCACCCTCTGGCCAATCTACCAACTGAAATTCAGGGATAAATTATACGTAAAACATTTCTTTCTTTCTTTTCGAGATTTTTAAAAATAAAGAACTCCAGAAAGAAATTATTTGTCTTTCATACATGAAGAAGAAATACGCAATATTGGAAACATGTGTGTGACACTTTGAAGTGAAATACAACTGTGTATATTTTACCTTGATGAACGAGCAAGGTAGCGGAGGGCCAACTCGACCAACGGACGTATCATCATATTCACTAAATGTTCCACCAGCACAGGTTTCAGTAAGACCATACCCTTGACCTATTGGAGCACTGAAAATGATAAACAATTAAGGGTTACATGATTGAGTCCAAAAGAAGAATTGAGGCATAGCATGAGGCAGGGAAAATTAAGAACCTCCTATATAGAGAGTATCACAGTAGGGCATAAAACTGCAGTATGGTGAACTATTTCTACGGCGTAGATAAGGATATGTTGTTCTGTGTTTGAATGGTTGAATCATGGAAAGGAAAAAGAAAGCCATTTAGACACTTCACTTTAGCTCAAACTTAAAGATCGTGTTTAGTATGCAATACTTGACAAGATTGGACCGTACAGTGAACAAGAAGTTGTATCCAATCCTCCCTAACAAACATTCCAAAAATGTTTAAAGCGATATTGATTTATCCTGTACACAAAATATGTAATTGTTAAAACTTAAAAGAGATAATTTAATTTAACTATCCAGATTGCGAGAAAATAGCAAGACGGCTCTAATTTCAGCCAGCAGTTCTGAGAGCTACATATACAGAACACAGAGAAGTTGACTCAATTGTTAACTCACTTTAGAGACAATCATATAAACAATTTCGAGTTAATGTATGTTTTGCTTAATGTTATATTCTGAAAATTCTTTTGTTTAGGTTATGGAATTTTAGTTTATGCTATTTTCATTTTTTGCTCTGTCCAAATCCACTTGAATGAATGTGTGTGTGTGTAATAGAAATAACCAAAATTTAGAGAATATGTCATGATTATTTTTTATCATTTTAAGTATATAGAAACACTAACCCAAGACATATATTGATGAATCGTTGAGTTTCAGCAGAAAGTGGAGCGCCTCCAGATAGTATGAAACGGATACGTCCACCCAAAATTGCTCGAATTTTTCTAAACACAAGAAAGTTCCATATAAGCCTCTCTAAGCCCCATGCTCCAAACCAACTTCCATTTATTGCAGACAGTCGACGGGAGTACGCCAAATCAAACAATGTTTTTGCTAGTCCACCTGTAGAATCTACCTGAAGTTTTTACAGTGTAGCTTTAATATGTGTACTAGATCACCCTAAAATTTACACCCAAGGAAACAAAAGTAAATGGCATGTGTGTTGATTTAAGACCTTTTTGTGCACACCGTCTCGAACACGATCAAGAATTGCAGGGACAGCTGCCATCAATGTGGGCCTTAACATCGAGGCATCGCCTTTTGTTCCCCTTTTTATCTTATTGGATGTATCGGTAAGAGTCAAGGGAGATCCATATCCTATGGAACATCCAATGGCTGCTATTAAATTCTGTAAAAGACACATAATAGTATATGAAAACCTTCAGACAAGCGAGTGAGGAACTAATAAACGTACAAGTCAAAATGGCCTCAAAAGAATTTCTGTAGGCCATAACAGCATGTATGACTAAGCTTACATGTATACTTTTTAAGCTTAGAAACGTGCTTTTGGTTCTGCTTTATGAGAAGATACCATACCTCCGCTACTAGTTCAAGAATGTGAGCAAGTGGTAGGTATGCTAAATAAATATCCTCGCTTCCAAGTCTGGGAACAATCGTCATAACAGCAGATACTGTGGCTAAAACATTTCGATGTGTCATCACAACACCCTGAATAAACCCAAAAAGCTAAGTCTGTAAGCTCTAGTCATGTCAAATTATATAAGAAATAAACATAAAAAGTGAGTCATGGTCTTGGCCAGCTTAATAAAAGTAAAGAAATTACAAACACTAAATTTATAATATCTGGCAGTCCAGTTCAAGCTCACGAATTGAGCTAAAATGCTATTTACTATTAGTCTCCTAAATATTCATGTGTGCAATTTAATCTCATATTTTGGAAATCTTCAGCACCATTACCACTTAATAACAATGGGAAATCATCCGTTGCAGCTCATGATTAAAGAAATTAGCAGAGGGGCTGTTGAGACCACACACCCTAATCAATAAATCTTTTTGTCATGCTTGAAAGACTTTATGAAAGTCAAAACATACCATAGCAAAATTTTCTTGGCTAGTCTCAAATACCAAGGTAGTCCTTTCTTTTCTTTTGTTTTTTCTGTGTGTGTGTGTGTGTGTGTGTGTGTGTTGGATGTGAAAAATATGAGATAAAAATTTCAAGGGGAGGTACGTACTGCCAAGATAAAAAAATTCCTTGTGGCTTCCTTATTTTGAAAGGAAGGAACGTGTTTCCAAAATGTGCATGGCCCATAAACTATCCATAGGCATGATTCACAAGAAGCATGCACAAAAAAACACTTGGTTTCAAAATCTTTAGGTGTACAGTGGAGGTGAACTGGACAAAAAGATCTATTTCTTATGAAGAGGATGATGTTAAGAATCTTTTGCGAATTATGATGTCTATTTCCTCAACAAAAATTAGAGTCTCAGCCTAGTCATAGTCGAAAAGTTCTATTATATATAGAACCAGATAATCTCAGACTTCAAGATGAAAGGAAGTGAGGCAATAACCACCACTATATTTTTTCTTACACTGCATTTTGATTTTCCAACTGACAATTGTGATATTTTGTATGATACTCCTTGAATATTGCAACAGAGTTTTATCAAACATAAAAGTGATCTGGTTCCTCAATAAAGAGAATAACTAATTTCCGCGCTTAACTTTGATGACTATTCAGCCAAGTCTGTCAGGAGTCCACAAATAACTATTTCCACCGAGAATATTCAACTACTTAAGCCCCTGTTTGATGCTTATTAAAAAGAGTTTTTTTAGGAAAATGAGTTTTGGAATAGTGATTTTTAATTAATTAATTTATTATTTTTTTTTTTAATGTATGGTTAAAAAGTAGGAAAAAACTTTTGGCTTACGTGCAAAATATTTTATCGAGGAAATATGTGGTTGAAAATGAGTTGTAGAGAAAAAAGAGTTTTTGAAGAACGGTAGACAAACAAGGGCTAAGTAATGATACGCTAAGTTATTTGGATCGAACTGATTTAATTAAAAACAAAAAATAAATAAAGTACAACTTTTCCACTACATAACAGAGAAGAGTAAAAGAATACAAGACTCGAAGTTTCGCAGCCATAGAGTTCACCTGCACTGCTAAAAAGTAGAGACAAAAAGATGAAATTGAATTACACATTTGACAATTGGGAGTGACATGTCTTAAGTTTTTGTAGGAGAAAATACATATACCATCTTCACCTCTCATACTCCATTATGGAAGAAGATTTTTCCAACATCTTCAAATTGGCAAAAATGATAAAACTGGGTTGGGTTTGAGCACTCCAAAGTTCAATAAATATATTGATTATGTCAATGCTTCAGGCTTTACCAATTTCACTTAAATGTATAATATACTGAATCAATCAACTTTATCTCAAACTCAGCCATTAACACGAGTTACTATGCAGATATAAAGGTATACACCACACAAGAGCATTACATAAATTGAACAAAGACTTCAATTAAACTTTAATTAGCTCTACAGGTAAATTATACAAACCTTTGGCAAGCCAGTACTTCCACTTGTGTACATTATCACAGAAATATCGTCTGCAAGAGGTAAATCAGGGTCAACTGGATTTTCACGGCCGAGCCTCTCTACATCAGAGAAGGAAGTGATTGTCCAGCTGCTGCTCACAGAAACCAATGAATTATCTGACTGGAATTCTTCATCCATGCAAATTATACGCTTTATGGTGTCAATCTGTCCACTTATGTTTGCTAGTTTCTTCAGTTCTTTGTACCCACAAATGACAGTCGTAACCTCTGTCTGAAAATCAGCGTGGAATTTGTAGTGCAAACATGACACAGAACAAGAAAATTGAATGTGGAAAACAAAAGACCATTGCTGAATGGTTCAAGTATAGATAGCTTATAAACAGATAAAGACATTGTATATGATCCTCAAGTTTTCTTCCAACAGAAACCATAAGCTTATCAAAAGTAAAGCACAAGCACACCTAAAAAAAATGCAGATTTGCTCTTCTACAAAACTGATAATATATCAGTTAGGTGAAAATCGGTCAGTGAACATAAATACACAGCACTTATGCTCCAACATCATCACATACAGAAGACGATTTAGGTTAAATAGACTGCATTCTCAAATCCCTTCTCCCGATTCATTTTGAAATCTGTCATTGAAATCCAAAAGTTCCATAAAAATTGAGTCTTCCCCATGCCATCTTTTCTTAATGTTTTCAATATATTTCTTTCTTCTTTCCTATCCTTAACAGGATTTTGTCTTGATGTGCCAAACCATCCACCACAGATTGCATTACCCCACCCCCACCCCAATTTTCTCCTAATCTTCATAGAAAAAGCACACATCCACAATAGGTGGTGCATCAACATCCATCTTATCCCTAAAGACTCACTTCATTGTAGAGTTTAAGCTAGACTTCGATAAACAACCTCGGATCGCCACAGTCGTGCATCAGAAAATGAAACTTTTCACTCCAAGCAACAGAGGGGGAGCTTTATCAATGATTTATGGGTATTGGGATCGCAGTCAATGGCTACTTAGCACAAACTATGACATTTTAGAAGTTATTTAGCCCTTCAGCTTTATTGATTTAGCCCCTGTTTGATCCCCTTTATCTAAAAACTCATTTTTTCCCAAATTCATTTTCAATCCACATTCTCATAATATAATATTTTGCACATAAATCTAAAATTTTTCTTACTTTTTAACTACACATTCTTCAAACTATTACAAAAATCATTTTCAAGCAAAAATGGGGCTCAACCATAGGTTTAATCATACAAGTTCTGACAACTACTTGCAGTGAAAAAAATAGCAAGATTTAATAGGAGAAATAAGTCTAGCTTCATTATGCATATGCATGCTTCTCCATGTTTCAGAATGGTCTCTGCATGTATGGGAGACACAGTGACACACCCCCGAACCCAAAAACACCCACACACATATATTCGAGAGGGAAGAGCGAGAAAGAGAGAGAGACCTCATTAAATGAGTGACACAAGGCCTCTTCACCCAGAGATGCATATATGGTCACAACAGTCACATTACGCCTGAAACATCCCTGATACAAGAAAACAACAATTGTAATACATCCTTTCTTTAGGCATTGGTAATGGATAAAAATTATCTCATCATTTACTGCAACATATGAAGTATTACTATCTATGTGAATGAATTGAACGACCTACACGTAAGAATAGCGTGAAATTAATACTCCATCTAATAGCCGTTGCTTGATATGTCTATTGTCATACAACAGGACCTTCATCTTTTCTTTGGTAAGTAAAATAGACAACGTGCTATGGATTTAGTAATTCAAAACTGTTTTCAACTGTCAAACCATAATGATCTATCGAATATTGGGATAGGGGAAAGGAAAAAGGTAGTGTGTTTTAGGGTGAAAAAATTGCTTCAATATAACATGGCATCATGCAGTACCTGAAGTGCAATAAGCCATTCTTCACGTGTATCGGCAAAGATTGCTGCACGTTCCCCCCTTTGATGCCCAAGTTGCACTAAACCAGAGGCAAAGTTGCACACTGATTCAAAGACTTGGCCATAGCTTTGCCACTCGTAATCACCTAAATGAAGCTTCTCAAAAGACCTTCCATCTCCAGATGTTTCCATCTCTCTAGAAATTAGTTTTCGAGTCCCAAGTAACTTCTTATTAGTATGTTTATTGCATGAATACTCAAAAAGCTCTGCAAGAGTCGTGACCCCTTCCCATGCTGTTTCCACGGGGGAAGTAAACCGATGGTTCCGAATTGCATAGCCAGTTTCACCACCAACATCAACTGTCAAACCACGTTTTTTTCCCTTCTTTGTATTCCAAATAAGAAGCGTAACCATAAGCGGAATGAGAACACCAACAAAATAAGGACCCATTTCTTCACACACTGTCTATCCCTTCAAAGGAAACAACTTTACCTGATGCCTATTGGTCAATGATCAACAAAAATGTGGAAATATCAAATTGAAAATTGTGATCAAGAAATGATATTATAATGCAGTAGTAGCTGCAAACTT